TGAAGAATCTTAACACATTGGAATCATTTCAATAGTAATAATAAGTGTTGTATCTGTGTCTTACTCTTCAACTTGCCGGTATTCTCTACCATCATCAAAATGCTTATGGCCTCAAGCACATACATACAGGGCATTTACTTGCAAATATACGAAACTAAAGTGATTGTTAATTTTTGCAAATAGCTACTGTTTGGCCACAGTTACATTCATAAAATTTAAAATAATTCTTTATGTTACGATCAGAGCAGTTCTCTATGTTTCTCATGCGATTCCTGGATTATGTCTGCGTTCTAAAATGTGATGACAAGGCCGCTAATATATATATATTATTTTATATAATATATAAATATATATATATATTTATATATATATAATTTATATATATTATATATATATATATAATATATTATATAATATATGGTATAAACCTTGGTAATAAATACCGACAAGTTGCAAAACAACCACTCTGAGAGAATAAAGAAATTCCAAGCGCTTTCGTGACTACTCACATTATCAAGGAACTATGAAAGTAAAGCATCCAAGGAAGGTATATAAGGGGTCTGGCCAACACCTCACTCTCAGATCCCACAACGGTTAAACACCTGACACGCGCCGGCCCAACTGGACAGGTCCTTTGCACAACCCACCAACAAACTATTCTACCCAAGAAAATGTTTAAAATTATTATTTGTCCAGTGTATTATTAAATTCTTCCCAAATTCTATTAATTATAAATGGATCTAATTTATATAAACCAAATAAAATATTCATATTATTGTCAAAACTGCTTTTTATGAAACAAGATTCAATTATATTCCTGTCGACCATGGACTTGCTTGATACTACTTTCTCAACTTTTTGAAAATCAATTGGATGGTTAAAATCTCTTACATGAATAAATAGAGCATTGGAATCTTGTCTAGTTCTAATGGTATATTTATGTTGTTTTAATCTTAGTTCGAGATTTTTACCAGTTTGACCGTAATAAACTTTATCGCAAATTTTACAAGGAATCTTATAGACACATCCATCAGCATTTTGGGGGGAATTCTTTATCAAAAGTTTTTTTTACTGTATCAAGATTTTTGAATACAACTTTAATATTAAAAGTCTTAAGAAGAGAAGGCATATCAACCAAGTTTTCATGGTAAGGGAGGACCAACATGTTTTTAGTTGAATAAGGCTGGTTGTCCCTTTTTGGATTGTAAAAAGTATTTCTAGCAACTTTAAAAGATTTATCAATTACATTTTGGGTATTTAAATCATTACCTATTTCAAAATTTTGGATATTTCCTTATCTATGAACTCAGGACTACAAATTCGTAAAGCTCTCAAAAACATTGATGAGAAAACAGACAGTTTGACTCTATCTTGATGCGAAGAATAATAGTGGACATAGGAACAGTTATTTGTAGGTTTTCTGTAAATTTTAAATTTGAATTCATTGTTACCCTTAATAATTAAAACATCTAGAAAAGGCAATGAGTTATTTTCTTCAAACTCAACAGTAAAGTTTATAGAATGGGCTAAGCTATTTAATTTTCCAAGGAAATGGTGTATATCTACATTCTTGGGCATAAGACAAAATATCATCAACATATCTGAACCATTTAGCTCTATTAGGGAGGATTGTGTTAAGCAATCTTGTTTCAAAAAATTCCATGTATAGGTTACTAAGAACAGGTGAAAGAGGATTTCCCATTGCCATACCAAACTTCTGAGTGTAGAACTTATCATTAAATACAAATTTTGCATCAACAATGCAAAGTTTAATAAGTTTAATGATAGTAGGAACTTGCAATGGTAAATCATAGTTAACGAGTTCTTCAGATAAGAAACTTAATAAATCATCAACAGGAACTTTCGTAAACAAGGAAGTAACATCAAAACTAATCATGTTAAAATCATTTAAGTCAGTCAAGAAGCTTAATTTATCAACTAAGTCTATGTTGTTTTTAACATTAAAGTTAGAAATTTTGCCAACAATAGGGCTCAAAATATCAACAAGCCATTTGGATAATTTATATGAAACTGATCCTATGGAGCTAATAATTGGTCTGACTGGATTACCTGGTTTGTGTGTTTTTATTAGTCCATATATGTAAGGTAAAGATGGATTAGTGGAAGTTGGGCCGGCGCGCGTCAGGTGTTTAACTGTTGTGGGATCTGATAGTGAGTGGTTGTTTTGCATATTCTGAAATCACCTGCTTACTGTGATCTTATTGCATATATATATATATATATATATTTATATATATATATATATATATATATATATATATATATATATATATATATATATATATATATATATATATAATGTCGTGCTAAATAGGCAGAATTTGCGATCTTGGCTTAAATAGCAACGCTCATCTTGCCATATAGGACAAGTGAAAATTTGTGTATGCAATAATTTCCCCAAAATCATTCAGAACCTAACGAGAAAAATATACTTGATTGTGTTTGTTAAGTACTAAATTATTGTAAACGTATTTAAAATATATTTAGTTGGGATAGGCTAAAATAAATTGCTCTTGTTATAATAAGGTTAGGTAAGTTTTCTAAGATTCTTTTGGTGCAAAATTAAATTTTTTTACATTAACATTAATGAAAAAAATATATCTTTAAACGTATAAGAGAAAATTTCAGAAAGGACTTAATTTTAAATGAGTTCTTGCTAATTGACCAGTTTTACATATTCGGCACGACATATATATATATATATATATAAATATATATATATATATATATATATATATATATATATATATATATATATATATATATATATATATATATATATATATTATAATATATATAATATTAATATATATATATATATAATTGTAATAATAATAATATAATAATAATAATATAATAATAATAATAATAATTATAATAATAATTTTTATTACTACAAGTACATGCACAAGGTATACAGGCGTAGCTGACATCAGTGACATACTACTATACAGAAAGCTCTTTGTTATGCTGAGCATTTAGGGCAAATTAAGTCATTTATGTCCCCAGGATGCGACCCACAACAGGTGTCTTAAGAAGCCAATTCGTTATGTTTCCACCCGAACCTGGGATCGAACCGAGCGCACCAAATACGTCATGGGAATTGGCTAATTTATCACTCACAGTATGTGGTAACTACCGTTCACAGTATGTGGTAACTACCGTTCACAGTATGTGGTAACTACCGTTCACAGTATGGGTATGTGGTAACTACCGTTCACAGTATGGGTATGTGGTAACTACCATTCACAGTATGGGTATGTGGTAACTACCACTCACAGTATGGGTATGTGGTAACTACCACTCACAGTATGGGTATGTGGTAACTACTATTCACAGTATGGGAACATAATAACTATTACTCACAGTATGGGTATATAATAACTACCACTCACAGTATGAGTATGTGGTAACTACCACTCACAGTATGGGTGTGTGGTAACTACCGTTCACAGTATGGGTATGTGGTAACTACCGTTCACAGTATGGGTATGTGGTAACTACCGTTCACAGTATGGGTATGTGGTAACTACCACTCACAGTATGGGTATGTGGTAACTACCGTTCACAGTATGGGTATGTGGTAACTACCATTCACAGTATGGGTATGTGGTAACTACCACTCACAGTATGGGTATGTGGTAACTACCACTCACAGTATGGGTATGTGGTAACTACTATTCACAGTATGGGAACATAATAACTATTACTCACAGTATGGGTATATAATAACTACCACTCACAGTATGAGTATGTGGTAACTACCGTTCACAGTATGGGTATGTGGTAACTACCATTCACAGTATGTGGTAACTACCGTTCACAGTATGGGTATGTGGTAACTACCATTCACAGTATGGGAACATAATAACTATTACTCACAGTATGGGTATATAATAACTACCACTCACAGTATGAGTATGTGGTAACTACCACTCACAGTATGGGTATGTGGTAACTGCTACTCACAGTATGGGTATGTAATAACTACCACTCACAGTATGGGTATGTAGTGTCTACCACTCACAGTATGGGTATGTGATAACTATTACTCACAGTATGGGTATGTAATAACTACGACTCTCAATATGGGTATGTAATGACTGCCACTCACAGTGTGAGTATGTGATAACTTCTACTCACAGTATGGGTATGTGATAACTACCCCTCACAGTGTGGGTATGTAATGACTACCACTCACAATATGGGTATGTGGTAACTACCATTCACATTATGGGTATGTGGTAACTACCACTCACACTATGGGTATGTAGTAACTAGCATTCACAGTATGGGTATGTGGTAACTACCATTCACAGTGTGGGTATGTGGTAACTACCATTCACAGTATGGGTATGTAGTAACTACCACTCACAATATGGGTACATAATAACTATCACTTACAGTATGGGTATATAATTACCACTCACAATATGGGTATGTGGTAACTACCACACTCAGTATGCTTATGTGGTAACTACCATTTACAGTATGGGTATGTAATGACTACCACTCACAGCATGGGTATGTGATAACTACCACTCACAGTATGGGTATGTAATAACTACTACTCACAGTATGGGTATGTAATAACTACCACTCACAGTATGGGTATGTAATAACTACCACTCACAGTATGGGTATGTAATAACTACCACTCACAGTATGGGTATGTAATAACTACAACTCACAGTATGGGTATGTAATAACTACCACTCACAGTATGGGTATGTAATAACTACCACTCACAGTATGGGTATGTAATAACTACCACTCACAGTATGGGTATGTAATAACTACCACTCACAGTATGGGTATGTAATAACTACCACTCACAGTATGGGTATGTAATAACTACCACTCACAGTATGGGTATGTAATAACTACCACTCACAGTATGGGTACATGGTAACTACAACACCACAGGACGGGTATAAGGTCATTATAATCCCCAGTTTAAGCAAAAATAATATAATTACCTAGTAAGATGTCCCAGTAATGTTTCTGCCTGACTCTCTTGTAGCAGTTGTCCGTGACTTCCGTGATATTTAATCATTAATGTTATCATATCAATGTTATCTGTAAGAGCTTAAGATTGTCTGGTCCGCTGGTGTGTGTCAGACGTATGATTCACACTGGTTATTATTATTATAATCAAGGGTGAAGGGCTAAACCCGTAGGATTATACCACGCCTGTAGAGAGGGATGTTCAAGGTATTCAGGCTTAATTTAGGGAACTGGAGCACAAATCCAATTCCCAAGATCAAGACCCCCACACCAGCGTCAAGGAACCTTCCTTGAAGGAGTTCATACGGGTTAACCCCTTCCTGATTAATATATAAACATCAGCAACAGACGTAGCGTCCTAAGAGAAAAGACTCAACAATTATTGTTATATATATATATATATATATATATATATATATATTATTATATATATATATATATATATATATATATATATATATATATATATATATATATATATATATATAACAAAAAATTCTCATGGTGATTCACTCGCTCCACTTCTCTTCCGCTTGCAGTAAGAAAACGAAAATACTTCCAGCCTGTGCAGCGAGCTCAACATCTGCTACCTGGATGATGGCCCTCTGGCAGGTACTGAAGAGTCCCTGTTAGAGGACCTATAACTGGTGAAGGCACACGGAGAAGACTTGGGACTCATCCTCAATCCCTCCAAGTGTGAAATCATCACAGCGAACCAGGAAATAATCAGTGCCATGTGAAGAATCCTCCCGGGAGTCTCTACTACCACTCCATCCAACAGTACCTTCTTGAGAGCACCGCTGGGGCACCAGGTCATCGACACTGTTTTCAAGGACAAATTGAATGACCTGATGAGAATGGAGTGGAGAATATGCAATCTTGATGCCCATGATGCTCTGTATCTCCTCACAAGGTGTCTTACTATGCCAAGAATAACTTCATGAGGTGTGCACCCTCTTTTGACAACCCAACACTCGAGGAACATGACGCACACCTGAGATCAACTTTTAAGATGGCACTGAACCTGTCACTAGAGGATCGGCAATGGGATCAGGCAACCCTCCCAGTGCGACTGGGAGGTATAGGGGTGCGCAAAGCAATGTGTGCAGCTTTACCTGCTTTTCTGTCTTCGTGTTTGGCTTCCAGTGGATTAGTCAAGAAGATCGTCCCCGAACGCTTGTGAGACGTGGTAGGAGCTCAAGACCTCAGGTTTACTGAAGCAGCGATGTGGTGGGACACCCTTGCAGACTCCTCCAGAAGACCAGCTCCTCCCAGAGAGCGCAAACAGTCCCACTAGGACAAACTGATCATGGAAAAAATCGCCAACACCCTGCTCACCAAAGCTTCATGAAAGGACAAAGATCATCTCCTGGCGGTGAAGGCACCACACCCAGGAGATGTCCTTCTACCTGTTTCCAATTCCTCCCTGGGCACTCGACTTGACCCAGAGGCCATTTCTCCTCACCTAGCCGCCACCATCCTTACCGAACATAGGTGTGTTTGCCGCAGGGCGACGGCTGATCAATTCGGACTTCATGGTCTCGCGTGTCACACATCAGAAGGGAAGTATGCCAGGCATAAGGAGGTCAATGACATCATAAAGAGAAGTCTCGCCACAGGCCATTGCCCAGCTCAACGGGAACCCCAAGTGCAGAAGTCAAAAGCGTCCTGATGGAGCCACTATGCTACCCTGGAAGGATGGAAAGCAGATTGCCTGGGACTACACCTGTGCTGCCACATTGGATGACACCTACTTACCATACTCCATAGCTGAAGGAATTGGAGCTCCCAGCCACAGGGAGACCCAGAAGACCGGCAAATATGAAGACCTACCCCATTATTATAACTAAATCCCAATAGGGTGGGAGACCTTTGGAGCATGGGGCAAGTGTGTTCTAAAGTTCCTCAAAGAGCTGGGTGAAAAACTCATTATAGAAACCAAGGACCACAGGGCGGCCAGCTTCCTCTTTCAGATACTCAGTGATGCGATCCAGAGAGGAAATACGTGCAGCATTCTGGGCCACGGCCCACTGCCAGGAAGCTGGACAAAGTATTCGAGATGTAGCTCTGAGTTGTTTTACTCCCTATTGCATTGTTTTCAGTGTATATATTCCATATAAATAAAGCATACATGGAATACATAGCGGGTGGTAGGAGAAAATTTTCATACAGCTTCAGGGAGAACCTTGAGGGATATAGGTAGTTTTTACTTTTTGTTTTGGTCCAATTTTAATGAAAGTTTATCCTTGATTTAAAAAGCAGTTTGCATCATACACATTGTTTGTATTGACTTCATGTTGTTTGCCTCCCTGGCCGACAAGACTGGTAACATGTACAATGTTATAGTCAACATCAGATGAAAGATAAAGAGTTAGACTATCTAAATTTCAAAGTTTTTTTTTGCGAGAAATGTCAATAGATTGCATTATAAATTTTTTTTTAAATTTGTGTGTTTTTCAATGAGTTTTTTTTTAGGAGAATAAGAGTCAATAAAAACAAAATGGTAAAACATATTGCAATTCAACTCTGAAATTTAATAGAATCATCAATAATGTGAAAGAATCACGACACTCCTATTATTACTCTTTGCATAAACTGAAAACAAATGTCAATAACTTATTGCTGAGTTATTCATATTTTTGTTTATATAAAACTCTACGGACATGGCGCGCCAGATCTCAGCGTGTTGCAAACCTTTATTATTGTTAGGAACACAAGAAAGAACATAAGAAAGAAGGAACACTGCAACAGGCCTACTGACCCATGCGGAGTAGGTCCATGTCCCCCCCCCCCGAATTAACCCAATGACCCACCCCCCGGATTAGCCCAATGACCCACCCAGTCTGGTCACCTCCACTCAAGGAAGGAGCACTTCACCAGACCCAGCAGCACAAGCTAGTCAGGTCCAACTCACTCCCACCCACACCCACTCATGTATTTATCCAACCTATTTTTAAAACTACACAACGTTTTAGCCTGAATAACTGTACTCGGGAGTTTGTTCCACTCATCCACAACTCTATTACCAAATCAGTGCTTTCCTATATCCTTCCTGAATCTGAATTTTTCCAACTTGAAACCATTGCTGCGAGTCCTGTCTTGGCTGGAAATTTTCAGCACGCTATTTACATCCCCTTTATTTATTCCTGTTTTCCATTTATACACCTCGATCATATCCCCCCTAATTCTACGCCTTTTGAGAGAGTGCAGATTCAGGGCTCCTCAGTCTATCCTCATAGGGAAGATTTCTGATACATGGAATCATCTTTGTCATCCTCCTCTGTACGTTTTCCAGGGCATTTATATCCATTCTGTAATATGGTGACCAGAACTGAGTAGCATAGTCTAAATGAGGCCTAACCAAGGATATATAGAGTTGAAGAACAACCTGAGGACTTCTATTATTTATACTTCTAGATATGAAGCCAAGAATTCTGATAGCTTTATTGCGAACACTAATACACTAATACTCAGATATGGCAAACACGAGGAAATTAAATCTTCATCAGAGTACAAAACAAATTCTGGCCACAAAATAGAGCGAAACACCAACGTCAAAGACCTGGGAGTGATCATGTCGGAGGATCTCACCTTCAAGTACCATAACATTGTATCAATCGCATCTGCTAGAAAAATGACAGGATGGATAATGAGAACCTTCAAAACTAGGGAGGCCAAGCCCATGATGACACTCTTCAGGTCACTTGTTCTATCTAGGCTGGAATATTGCTGCACACTAACAGCACCTTTCAAGGCAGGTGAAATTGCTGACCTAGAAAATGTACAGAGAACCTTCACGGCGCACATAACGGAGATAAAACACCTCAATTACTGGGAGCGCTTGAGGTTCCTAAACCTGTATTCCCTGGAACGCAGGCGGGAGAGATACATGATTATATTCACCTGGAAAATCCTAGAGGGACTAGTACCGAACTTGCACACGAAAATCACTCACTACGAAAGCAAAAGACTTGGCAGACGATGCAACATCCCCCCAATGAAAAGCAGGGGTGTCACTAGCACGTTAAGAGACCATACAATAAGTGTCAGGGGCCCGAGACTGTTCAACTGCCTCCCAGCACACATAAGGGGGATTACCAACAGACCCCTGGCAGTCTTCAAGCTGGCACTGGACAAGCACCTAAAGTCGGTTCCTGACCAGCCGGGCTGTGGCTCGTACGTATAACGGGCTTATTTGGTATTCTGGTAGCGGGTGGTTAAATGATATACGTCTTCGGAGGCTTCTTTGTTTATTGTTAAGTGGTTGTGGGTACACAGGCTTGTGTGTTGTGCCCATGGCCCGGGCAGGGCCATCCCACGAGAGAGAGCTGGGAGGCCTTGTGTGTTGATGCCAGGCGCTGTGTGAGTGAGGGAGGGGGAGGCAAGTCTGGGCATACTGAAGTGGCAAGGCCTATAGGTGGCAGCACTTGAGTGGCGCGAAATATGAACTAAGCTGGCAGACAGCATGGGCTGTCTGTGCAGACAGTACAGGCTGTCTACATACGCTCGGCCACCTACCGCGCGTCGTCCCGACGCGACAATACTGGTAGTAAAAGAAACTCTGTCTCTCTCTTCTCGTAGGAACAGGGCACAGAACACAAAATAAAAACATATATGTATCCCACCGCTGTCACCATTTATAACGGGCTTATTTGGTATTCTGGTAGCGGGTGGTTAAATGATATACGTCTTCGGAGGCTTCTTTGTTTATTGTTAAGTCGTTGTGGGTACACAGGCTTGTGTGTTGTGCCCATGGCCCGGGCAGGGCCATCCCACGAGAGAGAGCTGGGAGGCCTTGTGTATTGATGCCAGGCCGCTGTGTGAGTGAGCGAGGGGGAGGCAAGTCTGGGCATACTGAAGTGGCAAGGCCTATAGGTGGCAGCACTTGAGTGGCGCGAAATATGAACTAAGCTGGCAGACAGCATGGGCTGTCTGTGCAGACAGTACAGGCTGTCTACAGTACGTTGGTTTGCGTGCAGCCAGCAGCAACAGCCTGGTTGATCAGGCTCTGATCCACCAGGAGGCCTGGTCACCGAC